ATATCTATGTATATATATATATATATATATATATATGTGTGTATGTATATTATTTTACTATAATCGTTTCTTTCTATTTGCTCGATTGTACGATTTTATTTATTACTAAAACTTACGGTCGAACGTTCCTGATTGACGTAGTTAATTCTTGAGGAGCTAAATTACTGGATGGAGAAACCGTGCAGGAAGGTGGATCGTTAAGTGAAATAGAAGGGAAGCGTTCGTAGTGAGCCACAATTGCTGCTCCTCCGACGAACGATTTTCATGAATATTCATTTCCGTATCTTCTTATGAGCGTCGTAAACACGCTTAGCTTACTCCTCCGAAACGCGAACCTATACATTCATTTCCTTGATTACGCGTTTCTTTAATTAACGGAACTGTCTTCAACAAGATGGGACATTTTTCATGTTCTCTTGTTTATTGTATTTTAAAAATGTCTAATGTAATTGCTACTTTAATTATATAATAAATCGAACGTATTCATCGTCATTTGTCTGTTGATTAATGCGAATAGATGGAGTTGAAACTTTCAAGTGCACTTGAAACTCTTACTCTTGTTGACAATAAACGTTAATGGGTTAAAGGCAAATTAGCAGAGAAATTAGTGTCTTCTTCTAGTATGCAATAATCTGAAGCGTCTCTCGGTCGTCGTGTCAGTGCGCGTTTCTTGTCTGACGTTCCGTGGTGCACCGAATTTTCTGCTGACAATAATGCCTTCCATCGCCCTCGCTCGTTGACCTCCTTCACTGTCAAGAATACTATTCTAAATTTAATCATCTCGTAATCAATTTACTTCATATCTCTTGAAAAGTCGGAATTTATCGATCCTAATTCGGTTTTCAATAACGCTCGTAGAATGTTGACTCGCTACTTTTATAATCGTACTTTTCCCTCGGCTGTATTTTTAAAAATTCTATTACACGCACGCGCGTTTTTCTAGCGCATAGCGGATATATCGATTGGCAGGTTTCGAAGTTAAACAAAAAATAATCTTGAACGAAGTGTAAAGTGTAGTATTGCACTGTAAATCTACGCTTAAATTAACCCGTTCGCAAAATTTACACTAGTTTCTGCTCTGACAACCCTGCTGGCCACGTGAAAGCCGTGAAACTCCTTTGTACGTCACGGTGTCCGTGTGTCCACTTTTAAGTACACAAACTTCTTACGGTTCCATGGGGCTGGTAAAATATGCGGGTAGTGTTCGGGGCCAGAATCGCCGTTGCACGTCGCATTACAGCGAGAGACGATGCCATGCTGCAGCTGCAGTTGCGCACCGTCATGCTCGAATCGCGATTGTGCTGCACTGCGGTTTCCTGTGAACTGGATTATCCGTCAGCGGGATGTAAACGGTACCAGTCGTTGTTATCGCACGTAAATCATAGGCGTCGTATGCCCAAACGTGCACGCCGTTTTTGCCCAAAATTTGCCCACCAGCCGAAAATTGAAAATGTTGGTGCAGTATCCCATTCCATCGGTATTTCCGAGACACGTTCGTAAGTTGTAACGTCGTTTCTTCATTCCTATTAACACGGCGCGCAGGCACGGTGTCTTACTCTCGATCGTATTTCCCTCTGAAACGCATGTGAGAATATACCATTTTCCACTCGCGATTTATCCAGTTATATCAGTGTTGTTTGACATACATGTTTTCTATCTCATCTGCCATTGATGCATTGCCTTTGAACATCCTTGCAAGAACATATTCGCACCGGTTACGACTTATCAGGCAGACTAAGTCCTTTGCTGTACCAACAGTTAGGGTCGAGTAAGCCGGGATTAGCGAGTCTCTCTCGCTGCTGTTTCCTTCGTAGATTATAGTCTCGCCCATGATATAGACGAAGAAAGAAAATTTACTTAACCAAAGTTGGCGCTAAGCTAACGTTGATGCAACTAGCTCTCCCGGCCGGGAATTTCATTAGATTAATCTCAGCGTTTCCTTGCCTGCGTAAAATTTATCCCGTCGCAAATACTCGCAATCTGGAAAGTGCAGCAATGATTATGTACTGCCGAAGACATTAATGAGAGAAAGAGAAGGGAAATTTAAGCTTGCCCGGATAGATCGCATGGATGCAATTCGCTCGCAGCTAAGCTCCCAGTGGGTCATTTACTTTGAAACAATTCAGGTTTTAGATGCGATGCCACGTCGGTGTCGTATACGTCAGTGTCGGAGGAAGGCACGATCCGACATCGAGCTATCGGTCGAGACCTACGGCACCGAGAAATCCGCTTTGCTTCCGCCGGCATTTTCCCGACGTGTCGTTTTTTTCTTTTTTATTTTCCCAGCTCGCGTTCCTTATATATTTAGTAACCGCGAAAAAGCCAGTGCGAAGAATTGCTCGTAGTTCGCGCGAACATCGAAAACGTGTACCCGTAAGAATGTGCATCGTAAAAATACCACGGTAAAGAAATACGATTCGCGGCTATGGAAATTCGCAGTAAGTCCGTAATGCGCACATACAAATTCCTTTTACGTTTGTCAGGATGTAAGAAAAACGCGATGCCGCAAACAAATGCGATAAAATTATACCAATTTTTAATGCCACTATACTAAAATGATGTAAATTAATTGAGAGAGAGGAAAATAATAAATATAGGTCGAGAAACATTGAACCGCGAATGACGATTATGAATTGCGTTTAATGATTCGAAATGATTTCTGCGTATACAGTATTATATTTTATATCAATTTATTGCGGATTGATTAACTGGATTCGATTATGAAATGCTAGCGCCCGTTATTTTCGAAATCCGACTAAATTTAATTAATAGCATTTGAAATGTTACGCGATTTTGTATTTCGCGAAATGCTGAACGAAGAGTCATTGAATAATATCATTCTCGAATAATATCGTCACTTATGATACATGAAATTTTGCATAATTACGAATCGATGCATGTCATTCCAACGAGAAAATTATTCCTATTACTTCATCTTTTAGCACGCTATTTTTAACGTCGAGTCAAATATACAAACGTAGGAGAATATCGATTTCAAAGCGGCAGCCATAATTTTTATCAAGTTTACGGCGTTCTGACGTAATTTCTGACGCCGACCCTTTGTAGATTGCACGTTGTTATAGTGCAAAATAAATCTTCTTTCTCGAAAGGTGAGTTTAACGTCGTGATCTCTGCTAGTGCGACATTTCGCGAGACGCGTTCCTCAGGCTTTACGATCTCATACTTTTTATTCGTGACTTATGGCTTGGCGTGCGAGTTGATTCATTTATGAAGGTGCAAGGCGTTCAAGATGTCCGAGCCTGCAATGGCCAGGAAATCGATTTCTTCGAAGGAATCTTAAATATCATTTTGTTCCGCTTCCATTACCACGACGGAGTCCCGTTTGGGTGCAAATCTTCGAGACTAAATGAAATGAGACATATAAAAGTTGCACCGAGATGAGCCTCTTCC